CTAGGTCTCTCTGAATTGCAGCACAGCCTTCCGCTGTGTCAACCACTCCTCCTAGTTTTGTGTCATCAGCAAACTTGCTGACAGTGCTCTCTAATCCCACATCCAGGTCATTGATGAATATATTGTCCAGCAACAGCCCCAGCACTGACCCCTGAGGGACCCCACTAGACACAGGCCGTCAACTAGACTCTGCCCCATTGACTACAACTCTTTGACTTATTCCCTTCAACCAGTTAGCGACCCACCTCACTACTTGATCATCCAGACCACACTTCCTCAGTTTACCTATGAGGATTCTATGGGAGACGGTGTCAAATGCCTTGCTGAAATCCAGATAGACCATGTCCACTGCATGGCCACCATCTATCCACCTGGTTATGTCTTCATAAAAGGCTATCAGGTTGGTCAGGCATGACTTCCCCTTAGCAAAGCCATGCTGACTGTTCCTAATAACCTTCTTGTCCTTGATATAACTAGAGACAGTGCCAAGGATAAGATGTTCCATCACCTTTCCAGGGATGCAGGTGAGGCTGACCGGTCTGTAGTTACCAGGGTCATCCTTCCTGCCCTTCTTGAAGACTGGAGTGACATTCAAGAGGAAGAATGGCACAAGATCTCTAATCCCTTAACTGCCTGGACACCCATCTATTTATTGCCATTTTGTTGTGGCTTTCAAACTCTCTGGATTGTTGGGTAGAAGAATGGTTTGTCATATGCTTTATCAGTGGGGTACTCAGCTGGCAGTCACTCATCCCTTGCTTGTTGCAGAAAGCAGTCTAATCCATCTTACCCACTGACATCTCTTGCTGTTTTATAAGGAGCAGCCAAAAAGACCATGTAAAAAGTTCTCAACAGCAATGAATCAAAAAAAAGGTGCAACTGATTTTTTATGCAGGGTGGCACAGCGTGCCCTGGCAGGCATTACCCTCTGCCCCAGCCCTCAATTTAGGCATAGAGACATCCAGAAGAGGATGCAATTCTAGCAATAGAGATAAGCCCATCACAGAATTTTTTATCTGAGACACAGGTCTTTCCTCTGCTATCTCTAAATGTCAGCTAGACCAAAACAGGAACGAGTCGAGAGGGAAGAAAAAGGCAATTCTGAGATTCAGAAGTAGCCTGGAATTCTCCTTTCACCTCCTGTTGAAGCTGCTAAAGACAGGCAACAAGTCCAGCAAGGTTTCTAATCAGTCTGTCTGGCAGCATGTTGCAAACACTACTCAATTCTAAGCCAGAGCTCCTTCTTCCTCGTTTTGGAATATTTATAGCAAGTCCAGCCAAGATCTCATCATTTATTATGTGTAAACTGAGCTGATACTACATATATTAGGATGCAAGGCAGGCACTTCCCTCCTTTTGTAGCCTGGCAGAGAGGAAGTTTCCTTGAAAAGCGAAAGAACATTTTGATCAATGGAAAAAAAACCCAGTGATGGTGGCAATGGAGGAACAAATACATGAACCTTCTCTGGAGGGAAAATGAAGCACAGATATGGCAGAAAATGGAGTTATAAGTATTTTAATTTTTATTGGTGGAACACGGGAATTTTTGAAGAGTCAGCAGGAGTAGAAGCCAAAGAAAGCTAAGGCGGGTGGGTCTGCTTTGGTAGAAAAGCACATGCATAAGTGTGTCTGCATGCATGTGTGTGTGCTTTTGCTGCAGCGGATTTACACTAGGAACACACACAGAAGAGAATTACAGAGAAAAACTTCAGCTTAGAGATTAGCTGAGGGGAAGATTTTGGAAGTGTAACATCTTGGCAATCTTAGGAGATCGATAAAATGGAGGTTGGATGTGTGGGGTGCAAGTATGGAGCCACTTGGACTTGGAGGGTTTTGGAGAGAAAGGTCAAAGACAGTAGAGCTATTAGAAAGAGTGAAGCAGAGAGCTGAGGAACTGTTCAGATGAAGAACTAAAAGAAAGGAACTCCAAGGTCATTAGGGGGAGGGAAAGCAGCCTACACCGTACAGTTGGGCAGGACATTTCTCTCCTATCCCCATGGGCAGAGTTACTCCACTGTCAAACTAGTGGAACAGACACCTAATACATAATGCCTGATGTGTGATTGGAAACTGCTGCACCAAACCTTATTTTCCCCATAGCAATGATGCTTGATGTTTCAGTGTCTCATCACACTGAAATTCAATTATATTGTTTAAATCTCTAGATGAATCAGGTCCTAGAAAAAGAATTTGCCAGTTGGGCTGATGATCATAGCACTGACATAAGCTGGGAGCTCTGCAAAGTACTGTCACAAAATTTCCCTGCCTCATAAAGCAGTTGAGTTTTTAGCTATTTTCCATTCACAGTGGGATATGATTTCTCACAATATTCATTTGAGAAAGACAGAAACTTACTCAGAATAATAAGTAGTACTTAAAGTACTAACCAAGGAAGTGAGAAAACAAGTCCCTGCTCATCCTGATGGGGACTACATAATCAAAGCTAGTCTCTGACTCCAGTGATGCTCTAATTATTGGACTATTTGAAGCTGTCCCCCAGTTCCTCATGTATTACAGACATAATTAGCCTTTATTAAAGACATAATTAGTGTAGAAGGGAGAACAAAATACTGACTCCACAGTCCACTAGTCTGATGCTCATCTCAGCATTTTGGGGCATCCAGGTGAGAGCTACTTTAATCACAAGAGGAATGCCTTGCTCATAGAAAGACTGGATAACGTGAAGTTTCTGTATGTCATCAGAAAGTGAGAAGGACTACACAAAATATGTTTCACTTAAAATATCTGCTTGAAGTCCAGTTTTTGATCAACTGGCATCTTCCAACAAAACTTTATATTTTCGGAGAACATTCTTAGGCAGTTGTAGCTGTCAACACATCTGAAGTGTAATACTGCCCTCTGATAACTGGCACATATGTACCCCAGCATATCAATTTCTGCATTTTCATGCAACCAGAGAAGCAAGCTGATTTCCTAAGCTATTTGCCAACACATCTCACATACAAAGAACAAGAATCCTTCTTGAAGTATTGCATGAACTTAGTTCCCTGTCAACGCCTTCAGCCTATTTTTCAATCTCACTCAAATCAGCTAATACCCCCCATGAGAACACAAGGCTTGCAAATACATTTGGTTATTCAAACTATGGGCCAATGATTATAGGCTTCTAATCTCAACATTTGATTTGAACAGTCATTTAACTGACATAAAGAAGCCATTTCTAGAGTTGATCTGTTACTGTTATGATTGCTCCAACTTACGGTGAAAATTCAAAAGGCTACGGATATAGTGTGAATTTGAAATTTAAGTCCCTTCAGCTCTCTCATATCTCAGTTGAGTGAAATAGCAGACTTTTACTTTAATTGCCAGCTTTACAGTGTTTGTCTTGAAAAAAAAAGACACAGTTATACATAAGAAGAACAAGTAAGTGAAATTAAAAAAATCAAGAAAAATATGTGTTTAACTATAATACACAAGTACACGTACTACAACCATTTTCATTCAATGAAAATGTGTCATGTTTCCAATATAACATGCAGCACACACATGAAATTTACATTGTTGGTATGCAGACTTGGCACAATTTTTGAAATCCCAGTCATCTTGCAGGGCCCTGCAGATATTTCTGAGCTGCTTCACTGAAAACCAGCATTTAGAAACAGCTCGTGGGAGTAGGGAATCTGTTAACAACAAAAATATTAATCTCCTCATGAACTTCAGCGTGGGAAGACCTATAAACCAAGTATTGATGCGGAAATATATATGCTCCATGAACTGTGCTGTCAGGGAAAGGATGTGACAAGGCAAGGTTTGCAATTGCGCTGACAAGTGCTGGCTGGGAGGATCCTCCAACTACCTTCAAGCAGGTTCTGCAAATGGCTTTTCTTTTTTTTTCAGTAGAGGCTAACATGACGCTGTGCGATGATGTTCCAGCAGGAAGGCACCCTATTTGCAACGTGCACCTCGGAGGTTTCCTGCCACCCTGGTGAGCAGCTCACCGACACCCCTCCGTCCCTCACCCACCCACAGCGGTGGAACCAACCTGAGAGGCTTCCACTCCTTTCGGAGCTGTTGTGGGAGCTGGTGGTGCTGAAATCCTGTGACTGGTTGTGTGGCAATCTATTAGCCAATCCCTCAGCCACGCGGTAGTCAGGGATGTAAAGCAAGGCTAAGGGTTAAAGGGCAAAGGTCACAGTGGCATTGTGTGATTAGTTGACAGCACAAGCACATGCAACACATGCAGTTAGCAAGTCAACGGCAGACGGGGTGGGGCAGCAAGTTTAAATTTATTCTTTCTAAAATGTATACCTATCCTAGCCCAATGGAAGGCAGATGGCTCAGTGATTAGCACAAGCAAAGAGGATTAAAAGCACAGAACAGTATATTTTGTGCCTGTGTGACGCTCAGCATGCATGCAAGGTATGTAAGCATTAGTTACGGTAAATATGAACAGTGTCTCACACACTAGAAAGATTTTTCTAATTCATGCATAGATGATACAGTCTAAAGCCAAAGGCTCTGGAAAATAAGAGCTGTAATTACCATTGTTGCTTTTGCCTTGGTCTGGTAGAGAGTAACCAAATCCCATCAGGTCATTTTTTTGCTGAATTGAGCTTTTCCACTGAGGATCAGGTAAGTCAACAGCCAACTCATGGATGCTGTTGGAATGCAGTATCTGGGTGGTGGCATATGGCGTAGCTTGCGTTATTTGGCTGGAACTGTTGTAACTAGTTTTCGTGGTGAAGTCGATGCTGCTGTAAATGGCTCCATCAGAAAGCATAGTAGCTGTTTTATCTCCTTGCGCTGGCACTGGTGGCAGCACATCTGTGGTGAACATAGGGGAATGAAACAAATCATTGATGCATGGGGAGCCTGAAAGTATCAAGGTTTAAGATGAAAAATAAATGTGTCATTTTGCACGTTTGCATTTCAGCTTAGACAGGTCCATAAGCCAACGAAGGGAAGATGATGTACAACCATCGCCAAGCTATCAGCATCTGTGACAGGCCTACCACTTGTCCTTCACGTCTCACTGCCTAAAACCATCTTTTTTTTTCCACACCTTCAACTGTGAAAGTGAAGTTTGGAATATTTCTTTACTGAAGAATATTTTCAATTGTTCACTCTATGTCAGAACCAATGAAACTGTCTGGGCTTCCGGGAAATGATTAAAGGAGTGAATTTACAAATCACAGAGGAAACTTTCCCAGCAAATGTGCAGCAAAACTCTTCAATGGATGTGGAAGCTCTGAAAGTAATTTTTTAAGGGCATCACCTTGACTTCCTTGAAGTTTTAAGCATCAGCTTATCTGTCTTTTTGACATTACCTAGTACATTTCTTCTTTTCAACAAAAGAACAACCTGATGAAACCAAATTGTTCTTGATATGTGAAAGAAAATCTGTTTTCTTCTGAAGGGATTTAAGTGATCAGTTTCTTAAAATGGCAAGGCAGTGTTAATAATGGAGAACAACTTGTTCAAACACTCCAGTACATTTACCCGAAAAACAGTCCAGCATATTTAACTGAGTATCTGTTGACTTTTCTACATCTTTTGAATCCTATGGCACACTGCAATTTGTGCCTTTAATCAGTTAGATTGGCAATCTCTGTCCTTACTAAACATTGTAGTGACCTTTGCTGATGGAATACTAGGTTTAGAAGCTGAGACTACTGAAGTGTGAAGAATCTAATGATGACTGGCATGATGTCCCAAGGAGAACTACAGCTCAGCTTCTTCCACAGATAAGCCTCTTCCTGATATCTCAGAGGTCAATATATCAAATTTGACAATTTATTTAGACTCTGAAAAGTTGAATTCATTCTAGAATTTACTTGCCATAAAAATGCATCATTTATACACCATTTGTTTTATATAGCTGGATGATAGATATGGATTCCAAATGTCAGGTCTTAACTGAGATAATGTATACTCACTCATACATAAAGTGAGGATGTTCAGATCCCATTCTAGGAATCACAGACATTTTTATATACCTTAAACCCCAGAGAGAAAAGATGATACTTGCACCTAGATGAGAGTTTAGGCTCAGTTTGAGATTTAGGGAATACAGTGAAACCTCAGGGAATACAGTTGTTTTCATTGTCTCAAGACTTTTCCAGCAATGAGATACAACACCGTGTCCTTCTCCCACTGGCATGCTTGATGTTTTTTTATTGTGATGGGCTTTTTTTCTTCCTCCTTGGGATGAACATTTAGACCACAGAACTATTGTCTACTGCATTCATGTGTGCAATGGTGATAATTTTAATATGGACCCTAATAACATGTGTAGTCTCAGGGCAACAACATAATATTAACAACAACATAATATTAACAACAAATATAGCAATAACAAGTGCTTAGCAGAGAGATTGCAGACACAGAGATTAAATTCATGTCTACCAGTATGATCTGGTCTTGCAGACAACAACAACGGGGAAGTGGGCACAATCAAGTATTTAAAATGCCATAATAGAATCATAGAATCATAGAATGGCAGTATTAACTTATATCCTCAGATAAATTGTAAATGCAAAAAATTACAATTAATGCAAGCTACAGGTCATATTTCAAAATCAGCTTATCACTATTTATCTGCACATATCCAACGTAGACAGTCATAAAAGCATCTTCATGGCATGAATTTTGAGAGACAAGCGCAGTCCTATCTTTCTTCCATTTCATCTACAATATGAAGATTTTTCCTTTCCACAATTGATTTCATCAAAGTATAATGGACTGAAGTTTAGCAAATAAATTCTGTTGTTGATATATAAAATGAAATGAGTTCAGTTTAACCTCTCTCTGTTGGATTTGCAGACTCACAGAAGTAAAACTAGCAAAATGCTCATTTCTCAAGCACTCAGACATACATTCATCTTCTAGAGCACGTTTGTGGCAACTGAGGAGGTATCATCTCTATACAGCCATTTCAAAATGGAGAATTATACATCTGCACATATGTAAGATGCAAGATGCATAGCTTCCTGCCAGCCAAGAATTTTCAGTCATTCTTACAAATAAGCTGCGGTTCTCCAGACATTCTGGGAATTTTCAGTACAACCACAGATTACTTTTTTCAGCACAACGAGACTTATATACTAAGCACTCAAAGAGCTATTAAAGTGTCATTTTACAAAGGGCCTTAATCACTTAGTAAAAATCAAGTGTGATTTTCCCACCAAGTTGTCACAGCAAAAAAAATGCACTGTACATTTCAGACCGAAGATGAACACATATTTCCCACTGGAAGCTTTCCCAAAACTTTCCAAAATCCAGATAAATGAAGTGCTGAAGTATTTCCTATGCTGAAGTACTTCCTATGGGAAGCTCTTTCTTGATGCCTCAGGAGCTGCAGCACCATTTTGTGGCCTTATACAACTCCAAACCTAATCTGAGCTGCTGACTCACAGCCTTGCTCTCAAATCTCTATCTACGATATAATATGGATTTTGCTCTTAAAAGCAATGTTAGAACTGCCTGTCTCGGCTTCGGAGTTCCCAGAGTGATTGTTTACCACCTTACTGTCTTCAGAATTCTTAGAGACATTTTATATTATCACAGACATTTTTACCAGCAAAAGAGGCCCAAGTTGAGCGTGGCGCTAACAATGCCAAGGTTGCGGGTTTGATTCCCGTTCAGTCCCCATGTGTTGCCTGATCTAGTCGAGAGGTGGCATCCCTGGCGGCAGAGAGGTTGGACTAGATGATCTCTAAGGTCTCTTCCAGCCTAGGCCATTCTATGATTCTGTGATTCTATCTATATAGTTAATTCATGTTAAAAGACATCTGACTTTAAATGCATCTTTAATGCAGAAGCATCCAAATTCAACTGCTGGAACAGCTAGGGATAAATGGTCCCAGAACAGCCAGAATAAAAGTGTGAGCTCAACCGTAAAGATCATGGATGGAATTAAGCTGCTGAAATTCAAAATATAACTGTTGCATCTCTTCGACAAATTTGGATCAATGCCTCATCCACACTGAAGCCAAAAGCTTTAAAATATGCTTCCAGTTTCAGTCATACAGAGCCAAACGCTAAAAGAAAATGGTAATTTTTCTGTATTATGTGAGCTTATGAAAAGATGGAAAAGTACTGAAGGGTTTTACTTTCACAACAAAGAAACTGGCAGATATTCAGTTGCCTTCTAAATATTATCAAAAGTTTTGCTTACTTTATAATATTTTTGTAAGACAAGAACTTTAGAACATTTTTTATACGGAAAATAAATCTAGTGTTTTGTTGTAATTTGAAATCACAGTAGGCAAACCACAGGCAAGAAGTGTTGCATGGGAACATATAATCGATGTGAGGGATGGTTTTCAGAAGCAGATTCTGGTACAGTTCAAAACTGAATTCTTTTCACATTTATCATTTTGAGGCTTTATAGATTTCTTTTCCTTTTAATGTCTTTTTGATATATATAAAGTTCTTTTGATTTTTGTTTGCTTATTTATGTCTTAAAAATATTTATATACTCATTTACGTTAGGAAGTCTTGTTCTGAACACCACTATGCAGAACTAGCTGTGTCATAACATCACCGAAATCAAGGAACAGACATATGAGAATATTACTATGGCTTTTAAAAATCCTGATCATACATACTGAAATTCTCATTTGAGCAAAATTCTTGAAAGCAAATAACCCCTCTAAAGATTAATCACCATAATTATAAATCATTACCTCATCTCCCCAGAGGGCTTCCCTCAATTCAAAATGGAAATAAAATCCCAAAATATCTAAATAGTTCCCTTTCCTCCAATAAGAAGGAAAGTTTCTGAAGACCTTTGAGGCTTTCTTCATGGATTATGGTTGAGACTGAAAGCAGTCCCTTAGCAGGAAAGGGATGGGTAAAGTGACAGCAACAATGTTCTTCTGTCCTGCTG